AAAAAGAAAATTGAGGAAGAAAAGAAAGAGAGAGGAAAAAAAAAAAAAAAAAAAAAAAAAGCATCGAAATTTCTCAGCAGAAAATTAAATATCTATCTTTATTATCCGTGTCATTTGTTAACGTTGTTTATGTGTCTGTGGAGGTAGCGCTGTAACGAGTCTCATTCGTTTTGTTTGGAGGTATCCAACATTCCAGATTCCACAATTTTTCATGTCTTAGATTTTCTTTCACAAGAGTGAGCAATTCCCAAAAGAAAAAAAAGCTTTTTTTTTTTTTTTTTTTTTCCTCCAATGCCACAAAATTGAAAGGCCGTTAAATGGGTTTCCTTTTTCCCATGAACGATTGTTATTGTATTAAACTGTGGTTGTCTCTCTCTGGCATTTGAAGTTGGGAGAAAGTTATGAATTTCCCTTTTTTGATTTCCTCTTGTTGCGGGCATTCTCAGGTGCTTATTTGATTATTTACCCATTTTTGTGTTTTCATGTGTTGGAGTAGTTTCTTATAGTTTTGACTTTAGAGTAGTGAATGGGTTTGGTTTGTGAGGAGGAATGTGTTTCGTGGTGGTGTTTATCATGATAGGGGTTCAGTTCTTAGTTCTTTAGTTTGTTATTGCTAGAAGCCTAGAACAGTAGAAGGGTTTTTCTCTAATTCATGGAAAGTTCTTTCCTTTGTTGTTTGGTGGTGATAGTTGAAAGAAAAGGGGTTACTTGTGCTGTTGAGTTTGGGTAGTGGCTGTGGCTGGGAGGGTAGAATGGATTTATGGGTTGTTGCAGCTGCTGCTGGAGCTGGGTATTTGGCTAAGTATTTGAATAGGGTTTCGAAAAATGGCGATAGCTCGGGTCACATGTTGTTGGAGGATTCTATTTTTGAGAATCCTGTGTCCCCTAGCCACCCCTATCAATTTGCCAAACAAGCAGGAAGAAATGAATTGGGCAAGGATGTTTTTGCTGATGGAAAGGCTTTAGAGGGGAAGTCTTCAGATCTGAACTCAATGGATGGTCTTTTTACAGGAGAACGGGTTTCTACTAGAGGGATTACTAGTGAAAAAATGCTACATTTTCGGAATTATGACAAGCATGATGTTCTATCTATATCAAACTTGGCAATGTCATTATCACCATATGATGGTAACTTCAAGGATGTTGATGATGGAAATGACCAAAGTTCTGGTGTTGTTGGCGATCATGGTTTCCTTCTTCCGGGTTCTTCTGTTGAACTGGCTTCTTTCCATAACTCTTCTGGACATAAAACCTTTCTCAGGATGAAGCATTTGTCTGGGAATGTTAATAGACCTTTAAGTTCCCTAGAAAGTTGTTTTATGGCTCAGCTGTACAAGGAGCATGCTGAAACAGAAGAATTTGTTTTTAGTTCTGTTTCATCGCGGTCCATGGCCACAAGGTCATTTTTTGTAAGCAATGGAAGCCAAATAATCAACAGAGCAAATATTAATCAACAGAAAGAAGCTGGTCATGTAATGGATGAAAATGTATTTGGAGTTCCTTCCTTACCAAACATAAGATCTGTAAATGATGCCAAGAAGATGAAATTCAATGCAGTCATTGGGAGGAGCCGAAGACGGAGCTCTTCTGACAACATGTCAAGTGGGAAACTCAGCCATACTCAACAATATGGTATATTTCTTGATTTAAACAATGCCTCCTTAGACTGTGCCGTGTTGCAATTGTTTATGTGTTCTTGTTCATGTCTACATTTAGAACTTTTTCTTTGTGGTAGGGATAACACACTTGTGTAGTTTCTCTTAAGGAAATCATTAGTCTTTCATTATGATAAATATATTTTTTTTATAGATTTCTTGGTATCATGCTTATTAGTTACATTCTCCTCCTGTATTGTGAGAATAAAAATTGTAAGGGAGTCTTGCATTATTTTTGCTCACAGGTGTAAGTTATAGATATAGATATTTGATATTTCTGTACAATTCACTAGTCTTGGAGAGTTAGAGTTACAGATTACATGTTTTTTGAAAAGCAAATGACTTTTGAACTGGCTTAAATGTTAAAGTCCTATTGAAGGGATATTGTAGCTTTTAGTTTCTCTATTCACACCGAACAGAGAATCTAATTGTTCCTATGCAAAAATGGAGATTTTTTGGGGGCCTGAAGGAGGAATGAAATTGCTTTAGGTCCTTAAGTGGTGTTGCCCACATTAAATAGCAAAGGGTTTTATTTTATGATCTTTAATGTTTATGTCAAACCTAGCTTTCTAAATTCTAATCCAAAAATATCATCTGCATCAGCAACTGCAAATATTGATCAACATGAATTGGGTGCTTGATCTGTGTCATGTAATATGTTATACTTTGATAACTATTTCTGTTAACACATCCGTATTCATCAGATAAAGCATTTCTCTTCAGTCTTGGGATTTCTTTTGGGACGATAACTTGCATAATGGCGAATAAAAGAGAAATAGACAAGTTAAGAGAGTTGTTGAAACAGACTGAAAACTTGGTTCAAGATCTACAAGAGGAACTCGAAATGAAAGATTCAATGACTGTGAAGGAGTTACAGAATGAAAATTATGGTTCACAGGATACATGTGATCATTCCTTTAATGATAAGGAGCTAAATGAATTTTCCCCTGAAAAACATATGGATAACTCTCCTAAGTTTGACTCCAAAGACTCATATCATCAAAAGCTAGAAGAAGGTTCAGAATCCATGAGCAAAATTGAAGCTGAGCTTGAAGCTGAACTTGAGAGATTGGGGTTGGACATGAATGCATCAAGCCTGGAAAAAAAGTTATCTGAGCTTGTTGAGGTAATAAATGTTTATCTTCATATTTCCACATCTCCTAGTAATTACATATTCCTCTAGCCCAAAACATTGTCTTGAGATATATCTGTTTTGATGTGTTTATTTATTAGCTGTTCCATATAACCTTCTAACACTACTTATGGTTAACTCTACTTATGGTAATCATAGCGGTTAGAAACCTAGGAAAAGGTAATATAAAACTTTTGAAATACCAAACGTGGATCACTCACGGAATATTTTGTGTGCCATGTATTCACCTCCTAGTTTTGTTAGTCTCATCCTTGGCGGTGGTGGTAATAACAGAAAATGGAATTGAAATGTTCCCTTCTGATTTATGTGCCTTAAAAGATAGATTACGTTACTCAATTCCTCCCTGTTAGTGTTAACCTTTAACCTGTTTTTTTACCTTTATGGGGAGTACAAAGTATAAACTTGATCTGTAACATGAAATACAAATGCTTAGAACTTCCACTTGTTCTGACTTCTCATGCCGCATCCGTTCATATGACTAATTCATTCGAGTAGAAATGAGAGAATTGCAGCAATAACTGAGTTCCTTGCAACTGACTTACATTGGCGTGTTGAGTAACAGAACAAGAAATTAGCAAACTGCTATTGATATTGGTTTTAGCTCCCTTTGCCAATTTTACATGCCTTTTTTTCTTGGAAGTTCCAACGCATTTTAGTTTTGCAAATCAAACAAATTTTCCTTTTCCAGTGAAAGTTTACATCCTATACTTTGTTCCATTGCTTTTATGGTTGGGGGTTAATGGTGCACAAATTCTTGCAGCTTGAACCAGAGTTCGTAGCAGATTTCGCTCAAGGTGAATTACGAGCCGACATGGTCAGTGGGGAAGATTCTGACCATCCAAATGAGGATGCCAGTGACCCAACACCTCTCCCTGCCAACTATGCAGTTTTGCCTCATGAACTGAGTTTGCGTTTGCATGAAGTTGTACAATCCCAACTTGAGGAACGTGTGAAGGAGCTTGAGAGTGCGCTCGAAAATAGCCAGAGGAAAGTGCTGCTTTTGGAATCAAAGCAAGAGGGTTATCTCCAAAAGTCATCTTCCTTTAGTAGAGAAAATGATGATTCTGATCTTATGTCCCAGCCCTTAATCCTCAATTTATCAGGTGAAGCTCTTGATGCATACAATGAGGCCTATGAAGAATTAATAAAGATAAATGACTCTGAAGAAAATTCACCATTAGACATCCTTGGTAGTGACCACGAGGAAGGTTCACATTCACATGATTGGCATGCAATTGGGGTTCAAAGTGGTGAATCAAATGGTTCTAGTAAGGTAACATTGTTGGATGGTACTGAAGATGAAAGTTGTGATTTTGATAACGAGGTGGAACAGCAATTGATAAGGCAAATTGTTGAAAGGACCAAGAAAGGTTCTCCTCTTTTTAAAAATGCACAAAAGATATTGTATTCTATGGATGATGAACAATGATATCAAATAATTTTTAGGCATCTAGGAATAGAAAAGAGTAATATTTATTAATACCGTAAAGGGTTCTTTTATTTTCACTTTATTTTTACATTATAGTCCGTTAGATTTATGCAGTCCCTTTACCCCTACCATTGAAATTTTTGCCTCGGAAAGCAAAGGTCAAGTCTTTCTATTTATAACTCAAGTTTCATTGGCCTGTAAAGTGCATGTTTGGACACACTGTTAGGTGATATATTTCACGGTTCGAGGCTCAGTTTTGGGAGAAGCAAGAAGTTTTTTCCTATACTCAATTGTCCATTTGGTGGCCTCAGAGTGGATGATTAGACCACGTGTCCAAGTTCATCTTGATAAAGCATGTGTTTGATATCAGGGATTTATTTGGCTGTATATGAAACATTCTGGAAAATGGAAAAATGAGCAATTGTGTTGGCATGCTCTACAATGCACAAATATGCAACAATGATATGGATGATAACAAATAATATCATGACTTGTTTAGACACATGGCTCAGCAGCAAAACCACCTTTAATGATAGAAATGTAACTATGTATGTGTGAGATCGATCTGGACTCTTAGTAAGTTGAATCTATTCAAGAATACTGGTGGTTAGATTATTCTCTACATTGGTACCACTTTCAAGTAGGGTCGATAATAAGTCGAGTCTAATCAAGTCAAATTAGACTTGAGGTTTATATGATTTTTTTTTCAACTCAAAGTGAACATGGTATTTAAAATTATAATAATAATTATATATATATATATTCACAATATAATAAATTGATATAAAATTAAAAATAATCATTGGTAGTCATTACCCTCGTGCTTCTTGTTGCGATAGTTTGGCCATGTATACGGGATTCTGATATGACTCTATCATGAGGCCCTTCATAGCCACCTATGCAACATATTAGGGACAACCAATTAGAGTTCTCATTTAGTGAGGACCATGATTTTCAGGTAATTACACATATTTTCATTGTGTATTGAATGACAAACAATTATTCATAGCGATAATTTATATGTATTTTTTGCATGCATAATTTGACAGAATCAAAGAGTATATGTGCCCCATGATGGATCTGAGGATGGTCCTTGAAGGCACCAATGGTTATTATTAGCTCGCGCGAAGCACGTATTGAAATTGCACAGGTAGGCACGCTTATGAGGTAGGTGTGTAAGTGGACATGATAACCCGTGAATTTGAAGTGATCTAAATCAATTCAATAAGTTCCAATTGAGTTTTTTAATGTTCATGTGAGTTCCAATTCAATTAAATAAAAACCTAGTACTTTACAGGTTAGATAACGGGTTTTGAATTTTCAATCTGTTACCCGACCCGACCTAATAATGATAATGATAATGATAATGATAATGATAATGATAATGATAATGATAATGATAATGATAATAATAATAATAATAATAATATTCATTTGTTCAGGACAATACTCGTTATCACTCTTACTCAATAACGAATTTTACATTTTAGGTTAATAACATCATAGCAATATAATATATTTATTTTAAATTTTATTAGTGTTGATTTTTTGAGTCGATAATAATGTAACAAATTAATAAATTTATTTTAGAATTTAATTTGTATCATTATTTGCTTTATAAATTGATAACATTGTATTTGCAATAATGTATCAAAGAATTTACATATATTTTAAAATATTTAAATTTTTATAAATAAAAAAAATAAATTTAATTATGTTGATCCGATTAATCCAACCCAACCTGTTCGTTATTGGATTGGGTTGGGTTGGATTTTAAAAAAAAATTGCACAAATCTAACCTAACTCAACATGTAAAATTTTGATTGTTTTCAAATCTTCCAAGTGTCCTTCCATACTATTTGACTTCATTACCATATCATCAACATATACTTCAACATTCTTCCCAATTTGCTTACTAAAGATCTTATCCATAAGTCTTTGATAAACATTTTTCAACCCAAAGGGCATTACCCTATAGCAATAATTTGTCAATTCTATTATGAATGTCATTTTTCCTTGTCCCCTGGATACACTCTTATTTGATTATACACCGAATAGGCATCTAAAAAATTGAAAATTTGGTGTTTAATAACTCCATCGACTAGATGACCAATGTTTGGTAAAGGATATGCATCCTTCGGGCATGCTTTATTAAGATCAGTATAATCTGCGTACATTCTCCATTTTTCATTAGATTTTTTTACTATGACCACATTTGCTAGCTATGTTGTATATTGCACTTCTCAAACAAACTAATCTTTTAAAAGTTTATTTACTTTTACTTTCACTATTCGTTTCTCTTCTCCCATCTTCTTTTTTCTTTAAGCTACTAGGCTTGTTTCTTTGCATAAGGCTAGCTGATGGTAATGAAAGTTTGGATTTAGTCCTGACATACTAGTCACTGTCCATGTAAACAACTTTATATTCTCTTTTAGGACTTCTCGGATCCTAACCTAATTCTCCTCCTCCAATTTTGACCCTATATGTGTATTCTACCCCTACTTGTTTCCTAACTAAATAGGGGTGGTAATCTTGTAAGGTTCCAATTAGTATTCTTCATTATCTATTCTTGGGTCTAAATCTATAAAATATGATATCCCTTCATTTTCAGCCATTACCAATTTCATATAACCCTTTTCTTTTTCTTTGATTGGTTTGATCTTTAGACTTGTCATGTAACACTCTCTTACCATCTTCTGACCGATATGTACGATAATAATCTTTTGAGATTCATTAGGGAACTTCATAATAAAATAGGATGTAGAAACAATAGCTCCAAGAGCATTGATAAATGGTGTTCCCAACAAAATGTTATATGAAGTGTTAGCATTTGCCACAATATACTTGATTTTTATTGTTCTATGCACATCTTGATCGAAACTAAAACAAATGTAAAGATCAATGCATCCCTTGTTGTCACATGCTCTCTTGAGAACCCCACCAATGGTTCATCATAATGCATTAACTCTTCCTCGAGTATATCCATTTGCTTGAATTTTTTCCAATAAAGTATGTTAGTTGAACTTCCTTGGTTATGATACAATTATTAATTTCTACACTAATCACCATTAGATCATCCTAAACAAAACCTGACCCTTGGAAATCAGCATTAGTAAATGTAATATTTGGCATCCTTGCTCTCTTTTTCTCTTCAACTACATTAACTAATCTTACTGCCTTTAGATGCCTTTCTTGTCGAAGAAGTAGCCCTTCCTCCAACGAATCCCCCAGAAATAGTATTAATTACCCTCTTTAGTTGGTCTCGTGAGTTATCATGAGCTCACCATGTCCTTTCTTAAGAACGACTACATTCCTACTCATTTTTTCCTCTCTTTCTCTTTCTCGTCCTTCGGATACATAATTCTACCCTTACGTTCTTGCCCTCGACTATATACACATTTTTCTACAAAATTTTTCAACTATCCTTATTTAATAAGGTCTTCTACCTTACTTTTAACATCACACACTCCTTGGTTAAGTGACCATCATTATGATGATATGAGCAAGACTTCAACGCATCTACCCTCGGTGGTGTGCGAGCCCTCTTTAGAATAGTTAATATCTTTGAAGTCAATGCTTGTTCAAGAATCCTTGCTCCGCTAGTATTAAGAGGTGTGTATGTAACATACCGAGGACCCCTAGGTTGATAATTCCTTGAACTATCTCTTCCTCTTCCTTTTGAGAATGCCTTCTTTTCATTTTCTTTTTTACTAAGGCTACCCTTCATCTAGCACTATCTTTTGTTTCTTTGTTGGTTTCTTTTCAGCTTCAGCATTTGTCTCAAGTCTATCCTTGTACACTGTGTTTTCATTGAAAGTAACATCTCTACTTCTAATGATCTTTCTATTTTGATCATCCTAGAAGCGATATCCCATATCATTTGCTCCATAACCAATAAAAATGCACTTTCTTGCTTTTGGATCAAGCTTGTCCCTGTCAGCATATCTAACACGAACATAAGAAACAAACCAAATACTTTCACATGAGAAAGACTTATATCCTTGTTTTGCCATTCCTCCTCAGGAATCTTGAACACTATGGGAACTGAGGGTCCTCGATTAATGAGGTATGTTATTGTGCTCACTGCATCTGCCCATAATGCCTTCGGTAACCCTGCATGAATTCTCATACTTTTTTCCCTCTCATTCAAGGTCTTGTTCATTCTTTCAACAACACCATTTTGCTGAGGTGTCTCAAGAATAGTTTTAAACATTTTGATTCCATTTTTAGCATAATAATTAACAAATTCAGTACTACTATATTCACCACCATTATCAGACTTTAAACATTTAATTTTTAATCATGTCACATTCTCAACAATAGTTTTCCACTTTTTAAAGGTATTAAATACTTCCAATTTTTGCTTCAAAAAATAAACCTATACCTTTATGGTAGAATTATCAATGAATGTGACAAAATATCGTGATCCTCCCAATGATGAGACTAATGTTGGTTCGTACACATTTGTATGAACAAGCTCCAACTTCTCAATCTTAGGTATCCTCCCTGACTTTGCAAAAGTAACTCTCTTCTGCTTTCCAAACACACATGGTTCACAGAAACCAAATTTTGTCTCTTTCAGTTCTGGAATCTTCCCCTTTGAGACTAGTATCTTCATACCTTTCTCTCTCATATGACCAAGTCTTTAGTGCCATAGAGTCGAAGAGTGACCAACATCATTGCTGACTGAATTTACTTCTTTTGTAGGTAATTCTACAATGTAAAGGGCTTCTTTCTTCCAGCCGCGAGCAATAACTAGATTACCCTTCACCATCTTCCATTGATCATCTTTGAATGTAACTCGATATCCCTAAACATCTAGCATACCCACAGAGATTAACATTCTCTTGAGTTTTGGAATATAACTGACGTCCTTCAGCATCAATACTGTACCAACAAAAGTTCTAAGATTTATATCTCCCATGCCTATGATGTCTAAAGCTTCATCATCTGCTAGACGAACTTTGCCAAAATTCTTAGTTCTGAAATTTTTCTTTAAGTCCTTGCAAGGAGAAGCATGGAAAGATGCTCCAGAATCCATGATCCAAGATTCAAACTTATTCTTAATGCAACAGATCAA